TTTCTAGCTAACGAAATATTGTGTAAAATTGAATAACGAAACTTTTAACTTCTTATAATTTTTTCTCTAGGATCAATATTTTCCGAATTATAAATGAAAATAAGAGCAAAAAAATGAGAAATTTTCAATTGTTTTCAGATTTTGTTTAATAAAAAATTTAGCACAGGGTTTGCGACTGGCGCATATCGTGATTATCGATACTGGGCGTATCCTGAAGGGATTCCAGCAAAAAAATAGCTTCCTATGGAAAATTTCCATTATGGTCTGAATTTCTACAGATGCCGCCTAGTCTATATTATCATTGATATCTGATATATTCTATTTTTATTGATTATAAATTTATATTCTGTGAAATATATCTATTATATTCACTGAGTATCTAGTTGGCCAATAAGTAGTCATAATTAAGTTCTCTTTAACGTCTCTTCTGTGTAAAATTATGCGGAAACCATCAAGCAAAAAGACAAAAGAGGGAATGTAAAGGTAGTGGGGGCAAACATATTGTTAGACAGGAAGTGCGATCTTTAGAGGCCACATTAAACAAGGAAAGAGAGTCTCTCTCCTTGTTTGACATCAAATTTAGTTGGGTTATGTTATTGTTTGTCCCAAATGTCACATGAAATCTTATTTATATTGAAGTTTTTTAACAATTGTGTCGCATTTTAGATTATTATCGTTAATAATTAATTAAAACTTTCTCGTCTAAGACACATTCTGAAAAATATTATATAGCTGCTGTTGATAAGTGTCGGAAAATTTAAATTTGGCGCATTCGCATTTCCGAATATGTCCGCGATCAGAGGCCAGTTTTTTAGTCTCCTTTTCATAAGGATTAGATTCCCTCTTTTGTCTTTTTGCTCGATGGCGGAAACACAACATATAAGAACAAATAAAAGTAGACATGAACTATTTTTACACAGTGTCTATGATATCATTATATAATGAATGGTGTGCGAATTGTATTTCCAAATAAATTTCTCTAGTTTGCTCGATTTTTAACATTTTTAAAACTTTTTATTACATATTTTATATTTATATTTACAAGCAAATTATTTGAGTTATTTCCTATGAATTGTGACAATTTCATCGAGATCCGTCGATAATTAAGAAAGTTACGTAATGAAAATACGTTTCACTGGGTATACCCTGGGATATTCACCTTAGCGAATAATCGAAAATGAAAATTACTTATTATCTTTAACTACGTTAATGAATATTGATAAAACTAATACGTTAGTTATACCTAACGGATCACCAGTACATTAATTATCATTTAAGCAGTTTTTAACTTCTACGCCACAATATTTAGAAGAGGAATGTGCAATGTGCCCTTTTTTTATTTTTCCCTTCGGAAGACTTAGCCGATTGTATCAACTTGATTCTCCCTCCAGAATCCAGAAGTAGTTAAGGGTGTCCGTGGTATCACTTCCTTGCTAGTGTCAACTAATCCCACCTATCTTCGAGTTTCTTTCTTTGACCTTGTGATAAGCATTACCTAGATACTCCCAGTATTTCGATGTTTTCTGGAAGAGTAATTGAATCTCTTCAAATGACTCTTAATGATCCTAACGATCCCGTTGTTGTTGTAGGTCTTCCTTATTCTTCTGGGAATTCTTGTTTAAGTAGTTTCGTTAGTTTTAGGTTTCGTATTTTGTTTTTTATTTATATTTATTTCCTCTAGTTTTTCTGCCCAATATCGGGCTACGTCTACACCCTTTGTATTTGCGAGCCATAAATCATCGAGGGTGCACTGTGATGGGTAAAGTCTGCACACTCTCAGGTGCTCCACGTTCTGTATTTCGCCACAGTCACAAAGTGCGTTGCTATCTGTCTTGATGCCCCATTTAATGAGGTTCTGTTTTACAGGGGCAACACCTGTGCGTATGCACATTGAGTGTCCGCCACGTTCTCCAGTCCAGGTTCATTCCATTGGGTCGTTCTGGATGTAGGGGGAACAGTTCGGGTGGTTCGACGCTGACATTTCTCATAAATAAATAACAATTTTAAATCTTTTTAACTAAATTAAATATGACTTTTAAATAAATAACACTAATTTTGAGTGGATGCGATCCATTACTTGCTTCTATGCCCTTGGTGAAATCTCAAAATTTTAAAGTTGAGTACAAGTCTTGCATTGAACTGTATTTAAAATGAGTTGTTGAAAATACTGATAACGAAAAGTTTTAAAAGTCAATTGTATTCCAAATAAAACACGTTTTCATATATTTATGGAATGTTGATAACAAAATATGTATCGTAAATTAAATCAATGAGTAATAGTCACTTGTGGTCGAAGACTATATTGTTTATAACATTTTCTTTTCTTAAATTGTGTTTCTTCCGTAGGGAATTTATACAAAGTATTAGGAAAGTTAAAAAAAGCCGAATGAAATAGTTAAAGTCATTGTCAAGTTATGGCTTGAGCACGATTTGTCAGTGTGTGTTTGAATTGGTAAACAATTTCACAAAATTAAACATAAAAGACCAACAAACCTCCTAACTGTCTCTCAACTGTTTTTACGCTCACTTATCGCCAAGATTACACTCACCTTTAAGAAAGATATCAAAGAATCCCTACAATAGATACAAGAAACCTTAAAGAACCTAACGTAAAAGAATGCCTCCAACATGAACTGTATGTGAACTGCAGAAAATTGAACACAAACACTAATGATATTGCCGAGTACTGGGATCGACTAAAACATTGGTGCACTTCTGGATAGACACGGGACTACTATAATACAGACGGATGATAAAGTACAAAGATAGGCAGAATATATCGACGAACTGTTCGATGATTAAAGAGGAGATCTGGAGCACATAGAACTTACTTCAGAAGAAATACGTCCATATGTTACAAGAGAAGAAATATTACACGCATTAAAAACAATGAAGAGTGGAAAATGCCTGGATCTGACATAATTCCTATAGAAATCCTAAAAATTCTAGATTATAAACACACTGATGTTTTAGTGACACTCTTGAACCAAATTTATAGTTCAGACGTATTACTCAAAGAGTGGTTAAGGTCGATTTTATTTATCTCCCCAAAAAGAAAAATGCAAGAGAATGAAGCGATTATTGCACCATTAGCTTCTTGTCTCATGTGCTAAAGTTACAACTAAGTCATCCATAACCGAATATATCACAAACTGTAGACGTTAATGATACACAATTTGGTTTTCACAAAGGCCTAGGAACGCGTGAAGCTCTTTTTTCACTTAATATACTGATAAAAAGATGCCTGGACGTCAATCAAGATATATACGCATGTTTTATTGACTATAATAATGTATTTGATAAAGTACGACATGAACAATTAATGAATGTCCTGAAATCAAAGATTATTGACTGCAACGACCTCAGGATCATATCAAATTTGTACTATAAACATCGAGCAAAAGTACGTGTTAACGAACAGCTATCGAAGAAATTGAACTTAGACGTGGAGTGAGACAGAGATGCATATTGTCGCCAATTCTTTTTAATGCCTATTCCGCATTGCAGAGATCCTGAAAAAAGCTCTTGAGGGGGAAACAGCTGGAATAAAGGTAAATGAAATTAACATTAACAATATTAGATATGCGGACGACACTGTGCCGACACTTAGCCGAAAATATTGAAGATCTTCAGATACTGGTAACCATACTAGCAGAATATGGAAAAGAGTACGGTCTAACAATGAACGTCAAGAAGACGAAATTTATGAAAATATCGAAAACTCAAAGAAATAACGAGAATCTTCTAATAAACGGAACCAACGTCGATTAAGTGGACAAATATGCATATCTGGGAACAATGATTAACTCCACAAATGATTAGATTCAGATCAAAATCAGCATAGAAAAGGTTAGAGCAAATTTCAACAAAATGAGAAGAGTGCTATGTAAAAGGGATTTAGAATTGGAAATAAGGGTCAGGTTGGCAAGGTGTTTGTTTTTTCGACTTTGTTTTATGGAATGGAACCTTGGGCCTTGAATGCGACAACAATGAAAAAACTGGAATCATTCGACCTGTGGGTGTATAGAAGAATTCTGAAAATATCGTGGACAGAACACGTCACAAACAAAGAGGTTCTGAGAAGGATTAATAAAGAAATATAAATTTTAAATACAATTCAAACAAGAAAATTGGAATATCTTGGACATATTACACGTGGAGAGAAATACACCTTGCTTTAACTGATTAAATTAACTTTTCAGAGCATCCGTCTCAAAAGTCCGAATAGCTATGATTGCCGACCTCTGCCGCAGAGATGGCACTTAAAGAAGAATATATATTAAACCTAGAGCTAAGATTAATACTATTATAAAAATTAATATTAAACTCACCTGTCTTTCGGGTTGAACCGCGTCTATTATCATTGCGCCAAGCTTTCGACATCCTCGATGCCTCCTTCAGGGCTTTCGAGGTCTCACTCTCCCCAACCCCCAGACACTACTACACTGATCACTAAGCAATGTATTACTGGTAGTGGGAACAGAGGATGGGTTCATTTATACCGTCGATGGTGATGTGATTTGGGTGGAGGTTGGCGTGAGGATTAACGCTCGGGTTGGCGGGAACATTTCTGACAGTAGCATTTTGATTGCGATTAGAGAGGACTATATTTTCTTTACGAGAGGTCTCCAAGTCGAAGGTAACCGTATGTCGTTATCTCTTTTATTGAGACAATTTTGGCCCGGGGCAGTCTGTGACACCTTTGATGTCAAATAAACTCCGTTTTTTAATAAGTTCTATAAAGCTCACGATTTCTATTCATACATCTTAAAACTTCTTCATTTCTATCATGGTCAGTCCATGGAATTTTTAGAATACATCGGAATATCCATATCTCAAAAATTTCCAGGCGTCATAACTAGCTAATTATCAGCGTTCTATGCATTAGGATACTGTGCGTATAGCATTGTTTCATACGATATCGTACAACATTTATAATAGATTATGATTAGTTGAATATGTTATATTTTTAAAGTTTTTAAACTCTCTTACTTTTGCAGGTGAATGAAGTTGTCGGTATTATGAGAGTAAACGTCGAGAAAGTTCTAGAGAGGGACCAGAAACTTTCAGAGCTCGATAGTCGAGCTGATGCTCTTCAAGAAGGCGGCAAAAGATTTGAGCAGCAAGCACAAAAGTTGAAACGAAAGTATTGGTGGAAAAATATAAAGATGATGATTATTATGGGGGTTATAGGCCTCATTATTTTAATTATCATTATAAGTAAGTAAATATATATTATTGTATAAAATAATTACAGTCGAAATTTAACGGCTCGTGTTTATCTATGTAAATAAAAATGAATCTCCGAAATGTTTGTATGCGCATCATATGGGTGGGGGGGGGGTTTGGGGATCAAAACCCCCCAGGACCCTATTCCGATACTGTTATTTACAAATTTTAAGGACTTAAAATGGTGGAGATAGCATAAAAAAATTTCGGTACCCAACCAAACCCCCCAGAGGACAATTCTAGGTGGGCTACTGCTTCCAAATCGTCCTTATTTTGTTGCGTTGGTTCGGCTTCTCTGAAAATAAATTCTGGTACATAATAATGTTTTATACGGAATGCTGTTATGCTGTTTAATGTGTTAGCTCTGCACCCAACCATCCTCCTTCATCCGAGCTCGTGATTGGAGCTGGCAGTTACTGACTCTTCGTGCATTTACAGAGACAGAGTTATTTGAAACTTTTCATCATCAATGGTGCTACAGCCCTATGAAAGTGCCTCGACCTTCTTAAGTCTATTATGCCAGGCAGTCTTATCCATTGCCAACCGTTGCCAGTTTGCTGCGCCTATCTTTCTACCATCCTCATCTACACCATCCTTCTGAGTTTTGGCCTACCCCTTTTTCTACTTCCCACGGGTTGTGACATAAGGATTCTTCTAGGAGGGTTGTTCTGCTGTGATCTTGCTAGATGACACATAGATGTATACCTCGTAGTTGTATCTCCTAATCCAAACACCATTTTCACATATTCCACCAAATATTCCTCTCAGGATCCTTCGTTCAAATATAAGCAGAAGGTCTTCGTCTGCCTTGGAGATGGTCCATGTCTCCGATCCATATGTCAACACTGGCTGTATAAGGGTTTTGTATATGGTTATTTTTGTTTTTTGGTTTAAGTTTCTACTTCTCATATGTCTACTCAGTCCAAAATAGCATCTGTTTGCCATTATTATCCTTCGCTTGATTTCTTCCGTTATGGCGTTCTCTTTGGAGATCAGGGAGCCTAAGTATGTGAATTTGTTTTTGTTTGAATTTTTTTATTTTTATTTATTTGAAACTTTTACTCCGGGTTTAAAGTTTGTTTTGGGTAAAGTTTAAGTTTTGATTTCCGAAGTGGCAATCGTAACGTAAAAATAAACATATTTTCAACTTCAATTGTAGTTCATTCCCATTAAAGATATCAATAACATTAAAATACAAGAAAATAGCTTCCGTACAATATTTAAACAATATTTTTTGATTTCAGTTTCCATTGCTAATGCAGTTAAGGACAAAGACTCCACAACCTCAAGCACAACACCATCTCCATAATGAAATTAAATGTTTACAGAGCTTTCTGTATTTGATTATATATTCTGTATCTGATTATATATATTTATTGTTGCATTATACTTAAAATAAGAACAAAATATTTTACAATTCTATGTTTGCTTTATGTCATTATTTTAAATATATTATTCCATAGAATATAGTGTTTCTGTTTAAAAAGTAAACACCTATGGGGTGTTTAAATATTGAGAATTTGTTTTCCATTATTAAAAGTCACCCATTAAGTCAATTTATCCATTTAAAAAATCATAAATATTAGTAACATTTATGATTGGTCATTGTCGATATAAAGGTTGTTTGGTAAACAAATTGTATTATTTAAAATATTAATAAATTTTTAAACAAAAAGCTTTTTATTTTTAGTTTACATAATCTCTCATTCGCTGTTTTAAAATCTAAGATATTGTGCTTGATGCTATTACCAAGTCTACAGTAGTACATATGTTTTTGTCTTTTATTGTGTTCCTTAATCATTTAGTTTGTTGCAGTGCGGATAATATTTTTTATTCTTCCCAATATTACAAGTTCAAGTTACCAGATGGGTGTTCCATATACACCGCTGAAATAATTGCCATAGCAAAAGCATTTAGATATGTCCAGTCCAGAAATACACAGAATCATGTTATATTTTAAGAAGAACCTTACCATCATAGAGGCAGACATGTTAAAACTGAACTTTAAAGTAACGGTACAAAGGAAAGCAATAACTTGTGTGGATTAAAGGACACTCAGGAATAAAAGGTAATGATGTAGTGGATATATTAGCCAATGACACAAGATACAATTTAAACACCAACATTGTTCTATTTGCAGATCTTACTTCCAAGTGTATTTCAGATTTAAAACAATTGTGGCAACAGGGATATAATTCATCAGTGAAAGGACTTAAGTATGTTGGATACCAAATTAATATTTCATCAAAAAGCTGGTTTCATGAATTAACAAAACGAAACTTTACTGTTACTATAAATAGAATAATATCTAATCATGCTATGACTCCTTTGTACAAATATAAAATAGGACTGGATGAAACCCATATTGTCTATGCGGAGAAGTTGGTGATATGAGCCATGTAATCCTAGAATGTTCAAGAAATAAGGAGAGCATCAAATCATGTTTCGAAGATATGGTAAAACTCAATTTCTGTTTTCCAACCAATCTAAATTGTATAATTTTTAGTAATAATATTAACTTTAGTAATAATATGAAATTGTAAAAATTAACACCATTGGAAGCAATTCTGCGAAAAAAGAATAAAAAAAAAGAAAAAAAAAATTAAAAATATATATTTGGAAAAAAAAAAAATACTAAATAGAAACACACAACTTTTCTAACATATTAAAATTTTTGTGTGCGAGAATTTTAAAAGTCAATGTATCTATATTGGATTATAAAACACTTTTTATAATTTATAAATTAAAAAAAGTCTGACTAATTGTTTTATGCCAAAGCCATTAAAAAAAATATTATACTATAAGGTACTAAACATGTGGGTTGCACAGTTCTGAAACCCTCGATTGTCTTATGATCGTGAGGAGGTCAACCTTAGCTAAAATATCTCCTCTTCATCGCCACGAAGACAATCATGGAGATCCCTACCCTGGCTAGCTCTTTTCAGAGGTAATTCGATTAATCCCTAAGACATAATGGTAGCAAGAATGATCACAATGGAGATCAAAGCATAATACAAAAATGTAAACATATTTTATTAAATAAATTTGCAGAATTGTCTATGTTACAAGTCCTGTACAAGATGGCTGAATGCCTAAAAAATCACTGAAGGTCCAAACAAAAACTAACTGGCCGAAGGTCTTTATATTAAAGAAAAATGCTCATTATTAATGATAAATAATCATTATAATAATAATGATTATTTAGGAAGCTTACATAGATTACAAGATATAAAAAGTATACTAAATAAACATAAAAACTCACTGAAGTAGAGCTACTATCAAACTAGCACCGCTTGTGCCTGAGACTTAAAAATATATATTCAAACAAAGAAATATTTAACAATTGTATAAATATAAATAGTTACATATGCGTACTTACAAAATACATTAATTTTTATATAGCATGTGACACAATTGTAAGTACAAAAATGTAAGTAAGTACATTATATTAATTTCAGTAAATTCAAGAAATGTAGTTTGTAACCAAAGTTTATTTAGATATTTATTACCATTGTCCATTAATCAGTTCTTGATAGAATTGTGTTGTTTTGTTTTCAATCCATTGTTTAATTTCATATTTATATCTATGTTATTTATAATTTTTAATTTGTTTTAAATTCTCTGGTAGTTAATTGCATAATTTGGGCCCTATGTATCCAACATATCTCTGGAGTATGGATTTATTTCATTTAGGTAAAATTGCATTATTCCTTAAATATCTAGTTTGATGGGCATGATTGTTAAAGTTTAATATTATCTTTTTTTCATGTATATGTATAAGGGCTTTGTAACAGAATAATTTATGTACAGTTAAAAATGACTTTCATTATAAGCAGCTCGCTAGAATATCTTAAATTTTTCCCATAAATAATTCTAATTAGCCACTTCTGAATAATGTTTAAATAATACAACTAATTATTCCGTATTCTACACCATCCTAAAAGGCCATAGGTAAGTTGAGATTGTGATTATTGCCTTATTAAACACTTAACTTGCCATGCTGTTTTCAGTGTAGGGCTGCTGGGCCCTATTAGATGATGGGGCCTGGTGACTATTAAACCATTGGTTTTATATTCCATTGGATGTGGAATGTAGCCTGGTGGCGGGTTAATACCAGACCATGGATTTTGAATGGAGCCTGGTGGTGAATTAATTACCAGTCCATTTCTCTTAAGGAACGAGACCCAGTATTCTAAAAACAGAGCAACGTTAAGTTTGTAGCACAGAAAACCAGTCAAATGTCCACGCTATATGAAAAGATCTAAATCTCAGAAAATAAGGAACTTTTTTTCATAGACACGTTTAATAAAATTAAAGAGAATTAAAAAAAAAGGTTTTAAAACAAAGTAAAAAATGAATGCCAATTATAATACGAAAAATCACTGCAAGAAACTCAGTTTAAATAACCCTGCAATATTTAAAATAATCTTGAATATGTTGCCTGTGTGAGTCCATTTCACATACCTAGGTAAAAAGAAATATGTTTTAGTACACCAGCATGATTTGATCGGGATTTTGCTTTTCCCTTCACTTTGCCTCCTTTACCACGTCCAGATATGTTTTAGATTTGTCCTTGCGTTAATTTGAATTCTCAGAGAATAAAAAACATAGAAACATGTACCAAAGCTTAAAATGTTGATTTGGAGTTGTTCTATAACTTGTTTTAGCCAAATTTTCAAAGTTTATAGCTTAATTTTGTTTAAATGTTTTATAAACTGAAACTGAATATGAAATTTTTAATGTTTAATTGTTATATCTTTTTTATTAATAAAGATAAAGTAATTTTGCAAAGTATTTTTTAAAGCTGAAGCAATTGTCAGTAAATTGTAGGTAATTGTTTTTCACGAAACTTTTTATAATTCCGGTTCTAATAATTGGATCAAAGCTTAGTAAACGTCATTTTGTTCATTTTTTCAAAAGGAACAATTTTTATTTTGGTAAAATTAAATGTCTAATAGTTTAGGAGATCAAATACAATTCAGTTGTTAATAACAAATTATCTGAAGGGTTTTCAGCCTGGTACCCTCGAAAGATTGAATCTACGACGCACCAAAAAACGTCAACGTACCAAGGGGACATAATCATTAGCGACGGAAATAGCCTTTCAGAACTAAAAAAATTAAAAATTAGTAGGTCAAAGTAGTAGGGATATCGATAAGAAAATTAATTGATATATAGATATTGTAATGTCGAGATACCAGGGGAAAAGTTAGTAGACAAAACAGAAATTAAAAAGTAGAAGTTAAGCGCCAATTATTTTGGTTTTTAGGATAAAAACAAACAAAAATAAAGTATCGTCATATGAATATAAATTATTTAAAAACAGGAAGAGAGAATAATTAATAGAAAATTAGGCAAATATAAAATTAAAAATTTTTAAGAAGCAGAAACGTAACAAAATTTACTGAGTTCATTGAACAGCTATGCTTGAGTTCTAGGTTTATTTATAGTCATAACATTTCACGCACTGAATGCATAATCAATATTTCTTTTGCTTGAGTCAAGGATAGGAATTTCCTATCCTAGGGTTGTTTAAAGAGCTCGTAGTCGTATTTTTATGCATATCTGACCCATTTCCCAACCTTCCTTCTTTACGTAAGATTGCGTAAGAATTACGCAAGATTACGAATTACGTAAGATTGGGGACGGTAGTGTTATCGTGAGTTACTCAATCCATCCAAGATCAAAAGCGGAATTAAGAGAGGAGTTCTGCGAGCAGTTAGCCTGTTCTTTGAGAACAGACAACAAGATTGTATTGGGCAACATAAATTTCCAAATATGGTAATACCAATTCTCAGGAAAATAGACAAAACTATTTCCATCAAAATACTAATGTGACCTTTGTGTCACTTGAAATATTAATAAAAATCTTCTTCGTCGGTGTCTAAGTTTGGCGACTACGTATGTGAGTACCGGAGGATGTATTAATTAAAACCCCAAAGTAAGTTTTTATTAATAGAAATTCGTTAGCCGATTGATAGTGAACTCTACCGCGACTCTATTAAGGCCTTCGCTGTTAATTTTCCTTACATCTTTTAATTTAAAGTAAAAATATCGAATGCTATTATTATCCTACTAAAAAGTAGAAGTTAAGCGCGTTATATCTGGTATATTTGTCGATTCAATATAGACAAAAAAGGTACCTGTTCTGGCTGTTTGTTTCCTGTTGTGAACACTACTTATTTTCTTGAACATTCTTTCTAGTTCTTTATAAAATTCTTCAGTTATTTTTTTGATGTTATCTCGGTTGTGCTATTTCTCATTTTGATTTTCCAAGCGAGGTTTCCAAATAATTTAAATTTCTCATTTGATTTATACTTCAGAAGGTCATGAAGCATCATAAATAACATAACAGATTCATTAGAGAATATACGGTATAGCAAGTTAAACAGAAGAAACCGTAAATATAAACAAAATGAGGGACATTTACCAACATAAAATAGATACGACACAACAGAAATACGAATAGATTAAAAAAAGAGGGATCACTAGATAAAAAATGGAAAAAATGATAATCGTGTGGTATTAAGAAAATAATAATAAAAAATAAAGTTAACAGATGATGAACAAACCCAGTAAAAGTGGCTATCACTGATAAAAGAAGCATCGTGCAAACAAGGTATCCAAAGGACAAAGAACTATAAAATTGCCAAAAAGGCAGTAAGAGATGCGAAACAAAAGTCCTGGGAAGAATTTGGACAGTAGATCCTTTTGGAAATTAGATAAAAGCATTAACAAAAACGAAATACATCTGCATAGGAAGAGCTGAAAACGATGAATTAAGTTAGAAGATAGAAATGTAATTTCATCATGTCCCGAATATATTGTTACGATAATAAATATTATGGCGTATAAAACTGTAAATATATTATGACTAATTCTTTTCTATTTCTAGTAATTTCGGCGCTCACACCTGTTTACCTGCCGGCAGAAATTACTAGACCCTTCGAGTTCGAGACCAGTCCATGGTCACCTAATGGATGGAAGGTCATCGATGCATCGCCAGACCCTTCTAGATAACGGCATTTTATATATATAAATAACAGGATTTTTATTGTGGAGTTAGTCAAAAAGAAGTCCGTGCTCGCGAGTTCAAAATTGTATCGCACGTAGATAAATTATTAAGTGTAAAATAAATTAGTAGTAATAAAGACTTTGATAAATTTGTGAGTGTTAAATATTGAACCTTTAGTAAATTAAAATAAGAACAATAAATTAGAATTAATAAAGACAGTACAATATCTATTTGAGGGCAAAGATGGAAAGAGATGGATGTACTGAAACAGAAATCTAAGAACGAATCATATAACGAAAAAAGAAAAGAATAATAGCCGCACTAAACTCACTACTTTGTTCAAAAACTATCTCTAAACAGAAAAAGGACATATTACATAACAGAATTTATAAAAGCGTTGTACTTTATAGATCGAAGTCCCTGAATTTTAAAGAATTCTGAGATCGGTGCCTCTTTGAACCAGATGGTGGAGTTCATGATCGTACCAAAGAATATAGATGCTCTTGTGTATAACTCTCTTAAGAATTATACCCAAAAATGGTTGGAATCGATTATTAGCTACACATTTTACAGAAATGTGGAATGTTGCAATGTGCAATTAAATCATTTAGAAACCCTATTAAAATTTCTAGTTCAAAGCCACTGCTGTATCATTTAAAATAATGCTGATATAGATTTTTTTTATTTGGAAAACTAATTATTTATATTTTTTATAATTTATTGAACAACTTTGTGATTACTAATATCTCCATCTTCAAATATTTTGTATTAAAAAATTAAAAAGATAAAATATGTTATATTTGACATCGGCACTGTTGTCATATATTTCGTTTTTCTGCATGATACTATAAACTACAGATAAACCCACGCGCACGCGATCAGTCGTGTGACGTCACTTGGCGACAAATGTCACCAGAAATGTTCTGTGTTGTATGGAGTTTTGTCAGATGTAGTCAAGGTTGGTAGATATTCAAGTATCTAGTTGTCTATACTGTGTATCTACTTAAATATCTACTAACCTTGAGATTTAGTTTTGTTTTATCGTTTATCTTGTACGTTGACATCGGTTTACTCGGTAAATCATCTTTCCGAAGGAGGTTTACTTAAACCATATCCAGATTTTCCAATTAAATATAATGAACTGGACCATATTTTTAACAATTTTAACAAAGGGTCATTAAAATTAACCAAGAATTATTTAAAATCGCTAATGGATTTAGCTGTGTTCAGATGTAATGTTAGTAAAGGTGTAAATTATATTTTAAAATTAGAAAATTGAATAGATATATTAAAGAAACATCTAAAGTTAAGAAGAAGAAAATATTAAAAATTGTAAATTATTACAGTGTATTTTATTTTATCAGTTGTATTAAATTTTTATTTTAATAAATCAATCCATTGTATATAAATTTCCATTTGCAAAAGGATGTTTAGTTCTTACTTTTTTATATAATTTTAGTTTACATTGCTAGGCTAACAGAGATGTATATATAACATATTTTTAAGATTTAATTGCAGATATTTTACCTAACATCCCTTAATATTCTAAATATTTAAATAAAAACCCTTTTCTTTCCATATATGTTTTACCGACTGTGATGATAAAAGGTTGGTGATAAAAGTGACTTTTATCACCAATTGACGTCATGCCCGTCGATGTACAAAATTCGATTGCGAAGTGGGTTTATCTTGGAAGTCTTAGTATCATGGTTTTTCTGATTCATAGTATGCACGTGATAAAAATCTTCCTTTCCTGGTAATTTTGACTTTTGACATACGTAAACAACCAAGTTTTTAAACATAACCTTCAATTTATAATGTGGTTTTAAAATTAATTACTTAACTTTGAATTGAATTATTTTCATTTAGGAAAATTAAGTTATAACTTCGAAAAATGTCCAAAAAGCGATATAATTGGAAAGCTAGGCAAAATGTTGAAACTCTGGTTGATAATACTCATAAAGAAAAGGTAAATCATGCTAGAATAATATTTAATTTGTATATTAATAATAGACTATAGATAATTTTTTCACATATTAAAATTAATGACTACAAAATGTACTCCTTACCAAGAAAAAAAAAGTTCTACCATTTATATGTCAAATTTTTATTAAAATGGTATCAACAGGCACAATAGAATTTACAATTTTTACAGGAAAAGGTGACCAATAATGAATGGTTATTCTTGATTGTTTTTATACTCAACTGGCATTTTGCATAATATTTTCCATTTCCAGAAGATTTGCTATTTTCTTTGAGTTGGCTGTGATTTTTTAAGCTATTGATGGTTATAACTAGTTCTACTTGTGCTTGCACCAAATTGTCTTATTGTATGAACTTGACATGCCCTTTGAAGCATGGTGGTGACTTTTGTGCTACAAAAAATAATGCAACTAATGTTATTCATATCATATAAAAGGCATTAAGGTCCTATTATCACTGTGACACTGTACTCACATAAACTGGGGTAGATCCAGAAATGAAACAGGAGAATTAGTGGACATGGTCACAACTGAGACAACAGCAATTTAAGAAGCATTAGAACCCAAATGTGCCCAACAAGAATTTTACAAGAATGAAATTATCTGAAACAACAGCAATTCAAAAAACACTACAGTCTAGCAAATATAAAGACAGGTGCCTTTATATTTAAACAATATACTGCATTTGTTTAATATTGTTTAACTCAATAAAAATGGAAGAAGCCAGCAAGGAGAGTATAAATGTGAAAAGTTCTTGCAAACAGTTAGGACTTAAAGCTAAAAAAATAGTGTCTCTTTTTGCTGTCTCCTTGGTTTAATGGTATATCAGGGTTCGCCTCCCTCAAGCTTTTCCTTAAAATGTTCTGTCCATCTTCTTAGTTTTTCTTGCTGTTCTGTCAATTTATTACGCTCCTTATCTATTCACATCTTCTGTTTGAATTCTTTTCTGCATTGTTTAGTTTGTGGTATAATTTTAGTGCTTCTGTTGGTTTACTTAGTTCTTGAGGTTCTTTGTTCATATTTTCTCTCTTCTTTCTGCAGTGGATTTTTTTCTTCTTTATTTCATTATTTATATTCCTTCCTCCTCTGCTTATTGAATTCTCTGCCCCTGTTGCATCATTAAATATGATCTTATTTTTCTTTCTGTTATAACTTGACAATCTTTGTAAAACCAGTCATTTGTTCTTGTTCTACTTTGTTTACCTTCCATGCCTAGTAATCTTTCAATTGCTTCTTTCATGATGTTTCTGCACCTTTCCTACTTTTCATTTATTTTTCATGTTTTTGTCTGTTTTCTAGTTTGATGTTTATATTCTCCATTTGTGTTTGTATCTTTGAGTCCTTTTACATTGTATTATTCATGTTTAGAACCTATTTCTTTTTTTTAAGTTTAAAATTCTGGCCCTTACCCTACTTTTGATCAGAATCTGATTTGCTCCTCTCTTGGCACAGACATTTATTCATTTATTATATTCAATTGGTGTCTTGAGCCTACAATAATATCATGATTCATCATATTTACTGTAAGTCCGTCTAGGGATTTCCAGGTGCGTCTTTCGTTCGGATTTCCATCTTTTCAATTGAAGTTAAAATTATTAAATTAAAAATTACTAGATCTATGTATCATTTTTATTATTATAAGCAAATATAATATTCTATTATTACAATGTAAGTGTTAAGCAAGGAAACATATTTTCTCACACTGATAACAATTGAATTCAAAATTTCTGAGAATTCATGATAAACATGTAATTTTGGTTACTTTTGACCACTTATGACATGTGATTTTGGATAACTTATTTCTAAATAAATCAATTGATTTGCATTGATACCAATCACATAGATTCTTCAACCAAGAATTCTGCCTTTGGCTAACAGATCTTCCTTGAATCTTCTCCCCCATTACATAGGTATTCCAGTTTTCTCATTTGTATAGTGGTGATTAGTTCTGTTTCTTTACCATCCATCTCCAGTACTTCTTTATTTGTAATTATATCAGTCCATGATATTTCTAATTCTCTATGGTATAACCAGAGTTTGAAAGCCTTGACTCTATTAAATTTGCATTTTATTAATGTCCAAGTATCAGCTTCATTTAATAATATTGAAAATATATAACATTGAATGGTACATAGTTTGATTTCCAAATTAAGATTTCTGCACTTAGGAGTGGCTTCATTTGTATAAATGCTGATCTGGCAATCTCTACTTGCCTGTTTATTTCTGCAGTATGATCATCTGTTTCATTAATCAAAGTTTCAAGTACTGAAATGTTTCTACTTGTTATATCACATTGCCATGAATTGTCAACATGTGGTCTTTTTGTAATTGGCATATATTTTGTTTCTTTAGCGTTTATGGTAATTCCCATCTCAGCACTATTCATACTTAAGCTTTCAATTAGAAATTCTAGATCTTCTATACTCATTTATATATTATCTATATTATAAATAATTTCAAGTTTTAAATCCTAACTGTGCTATTGTAAGTATATTGTAATTAAAACTGGTAATGGGGTTATCCTGTGTATTAAATAAATAAATACTCATTACAATGATCACAGTGTCATCTGCATATCGTAAGTTGTTAACTCATTTTCCGTTATTAGTAACTCTTGCTTTGATGTTATTGAGTGTGTTTTTGAAAGTTTCTTCAGAATATAAGTTAAACAAAAGTGGTGATAAAACGCATCACTGCCTAACTCCTCTACAGACCTTCATGTCTTCTGTTGTTCTTCTGACTGTTGCCCATCAATTTGAACTCCGGCTCTTTGGTTCCAATATAATGTTCAGCTTATCTTACTGTCAATGTGCTTATTCATAAGTATTGATATTAATTTTTCATGTCTGACTCTACTGAAAGCGTTTTTATAGTCAACAAACAAGTATAGGTCATAGTTTACATCCTGACATTGCTGAATCAGTATGTTGATGGCAAATAGTCCTTTTCGAGTGTCCATTCCATTTCGCAACCTGAACTTCATCTTTTTTGTGTCATACTTTACATAGTACTTTAAAAGTATGACTCATGAGGCTCAGTGTTCGACAGTCAGGGCACTCTTTTGCTGCTTGTTTTTTAGGGATAGTTATAAATGCTGACTTCAGCCACTCTTTTGGTATTATTATTTCATTCATACACTGTGTTAAAAAATCTGCCAATATTTCCAAGTTTTCCTCTTCCACTAGTTTTTTAACAGTTCTACTGGTATTTCATATAATCCAGCTGCCTTTTTAGATTTTTTGATAGCATATTTGATTTCATCTATTATGATTTTCTGTCTCTTTAAAGGATCTCAATGTTGTATCTCTTGCATTTCACTTCTTTCATCTTGAAAAAGTTCTCTAACATACTCTTCCCATCTTCTTAATTTCTTAGGTAAATCTATTAGCAGTACTCCTTTCTTGTCTTTTATGTGTCCTTGTTGTATTTTTAAACGAATCTGGAAACCAAAAAGAAGATTACCAGAATGCAATTATCTTTTTAGATTCACTTTCAGTTCTTGAAGATTGAAAATCCAACTCAGCACATCCAATTATATTATTTTTGGTATTGAAACAATTCTAAAAAAATTGTGCTATCAAAATAAAAATATTAAATTCTTCTAAATATATCAGAAACCAAAATGGGAGAAGCTTTGGTACAGTACCAAAAAAGGGCGAATGTTAATAAATATTTGAATAATAAGAATAAAAGAAAACAGACTGTTTAACAGCCAGAAAACAATATGCCACAAACTAGATATTTATACATAATGTCAAGAGAAAAGCTGTTGGAAAAATGAAAGGCTGAATATAATCATTGAGGAACGAAAAAATGGAAAAGGAGGAAGAGAATACACAAGACTAAAGAACTCATGAGCCATATAAAAAAACTTATACCAAATCTTAAATTAAAGAATTTAAAAAAAGTTGTTGATTGACAGATTCAGAAAATATACAATTTTTTATACATGAAGAATATAAACATATATCATAGATCTTTTACCTGTTGAAAATCTATCACTTTTCAAGATTAGCTTGTTTAATTGTTCATTGCTCATTGCAAATGACTTAATTTCTGACTAATGGCTAATTAAGGAAGAAAAATAACAAGTTGCATGATGAAAAACAATTCTAAATTATTTTGCCCACTGTATGTGAAACATTATTTGGTTAAATAATCTCATTTTAATGAGTTTAATTGTATTTGTCTGAAACTAGTGTCAAATGTTAAAACTATTTTTATAAAGTTAATTATTACATTTTGTGTGAATTTATTTTGTTATTTGGTTATAATATTTCATTAAGATTTTGAAAATATTAATGACTAAATGCCCATAGTTTTCACAAATTTTTACACAGATAAACACATATTCTCCTTATGTTGACCGTTTTCACATTCTACTTCTGCATTTGTGTCAGTTCTTTATCAGTGAAGTCTTGAATTATTTCCTGCTAATTTAAATCTAGATTTTCTGCCACATTTATTAAGAGAGGACAATTTACAGATTCGGATTTCATCTTTTTGGACTGTACTTTTCTATACTGGAATTATCTATATTACAGCAGATGATATTCTATTTTATCTCAAAATTCTTTGTAGTGTTTGTATTTAAAAAAAAACAATTATAAAAATTATATATATTTTATTTTAAAATTTTGTGTTATACATACCTTGATCCAGTGAATAACAATAAAATGAAGTGTTGGTCATAATCTTTGAACATAGTAGCTTGTGTTCTTCTAACAATAAACTAGTCTGACAACTTCCGTGTGATGGTATTATATTTTTTTACTTTCAGAAATAATTTCACATTTTTGTATTGTAAGAAACAAATTCTTATGTTTAGGAACATAATAATCTCTGCTGATATCAAGTAACACAAATAAATTTCACATTTATTTGCATTTACGTTTATGCGTTATGTTTTATTTAATATTAAATTAAATTTCAGATTAAAGTTGATTTTGAAACTGTAGGAAAATACGATCAGAGCAATGAGCTGGTTCTACCTTCTGAAAAAAGAAAAACAAAAATTAAAAAGAAACAAGCTGAAGTTACAAGAATACTTTCTAAGAAACAAAGGAAACATCTTCAAAATATTGTAGACAAAAAGAAGAAGAAAGAGATGGTAAGTATTACATGTATTATGTTACTTTGTTGCCAACCTGAAAAATTGAATGTAGTCAATATTTGATTTATAAGCCATAGTTCATGAGTTCTAACAGCATCATCATCTTCTTTGGCTCGACAATCCTCTGTGATCTTGGCCTGCTCTAAGATTCGTCGCCATTCTGTTCGGTTTTTGGCAACATGTTGCCATCTTCTGATTTTTAATATTCGTAAGTCGGTTTCTACTCCATCTAACCACCTAATTCGCGGCCGGCCGGTTGTGTTAATTGGTGTTTTACATTTATATAGAAGCCCCATAAATGGTTCTCTTTAATTGTGGTAAATATTTAGATTACCTTTTAATATGTGTGTTCACTGTATTTACTGTGATATTTTTATATTCAGTTGTCTGAATACCATACATACAAGATATTTCTTCGATACAATTAGCTTTGCCTTAAACTTATAGCATTTTTTCTGGCGTCATCAGAAGGCCCAGAATAAGACTTAAACGTCACTATAATTTCTGAGAGCTTATTGTTTACAATTTTGAAATTAGACTTTAGTATCATCAATGTATTTATTTTTAGAGAGCACACCTGTTAGATTCGCTTCAAAAATTTCAAGTATCTGCTGAAGAATTGTCTAAATTAACTTCCATAGCTTCAGTGCAAACTAAGGGTCTTAAAAGATACTTCCAAGAAGAAATAAATTCTGAGAAAGTAAAATCAGAACCGAAATCAGAATTAAAACAGACAGATATAGACTTAGCACCTAGTAAAAAACGAAGAAAACTGTTAGAAAGTAATGAAACAAAGAATACTGATGATCCAAATATTGTTGGGTTTGATGAGAGTAGCAGTTCAGATAGTAGTGATGTAGAATCTTTTGAAGAATCATTTGAAGTTAATAATAAAGAAAGTACTCACGAAAATGGGATAGAAGCTGTAGAAATTAGTCCTGGCCCTGTCAAAAAGGAAGTGATAAATATCGAAAACAAACTAAAGTTAACAAGTATAAAAAATGAGGATTCTAAAGTGGATTCTGCTTCACGAAAGCCTGCAGTTTATGTAGATGTGATAAGAAGTGAGCAGATCCAAGCTGCCAGACTAAAATTACCCATATTAGCTGAAGAGCAACAGATTATGGAAGTCATCTATGAGAACTCTATTATTATAATAGCTGGAGAAACTGGAAGTGGAAAGACTACACAAGTAAGTATTTTTTGTGATTATTGTATGTAAGAAGATGTTTTAATAATGTAGAGATTGTGTACTATAGAGAGAGCACTTTCATCCATATTGAAATTTGCAGTTGTCTAAATTTTGGTTTGGCCAAATTCGCTTGGTAGATTTCGAAAAATTTTGAAATTTGTGGTTTATTAACTGTTATAGCAGTCTGTTTTGCTTTAAACCCTTTCGAGTCTAATGGGATGTATGTATCCTAGTCATGAAATCATCAAGTCTGTTGGACTAAATCTGAACTGTTTTACTCGAATTTATATTGTAACCGACTTTTTAAGAGCTTAATAACAATTAAAAAAAAAATAATAATAATAATTTGTGTAAGCTTCAACATTCTAAACCGTTTTTGCGCTGTATTTTCCCATGATATTAATCTGTGGAATGTGTTTATGTAGTTGTCTTGATGATTACTACAGGGACAGTTGTGCGCTGTTACTGTTGTGGCGAATATGTTTTTGTGAGTACTACAAAAAAAGGTAAATATATTCAATAAAACTAGTATCTTGTTTTATGCGTGAAATATGTAACAACAGGCTTTTTGGTGGGTTATATGTGTCCCAATAGTCTTGTTTTGTTCTAGATAAGTAGAAGTAGAAAGTCGATCCTTTTGAGACTAGTGGCTCTGATGTTGAAGACTACAATCCATCAGTATGCGAACGAGAGCGTAACGAAATAGATTCAGGTTCTAAGGGCCATAAGATGGATAAAGAGCATCAGATGCGAACGAGAGCGTCACGAAATAGATTCAGGTTCTGAGGGCTATAAGATGGATGAAGAGCATCAGATGATAAGTGATGAAAGTGAAGAAGAAAGCAGTAGTGACGAAAATGACAAAGAAGGTGAAAGTACATACCAACCAGGTATTTGGTTTCATCAGAAAAAAAAGTCGATTGTAATCTTCCTCATGCCATAACCGAAATATAAATATTTCTAAACGACATCGACATCAAGAAAAAAGAATTCCTACCGATGAACATGAAATTATGATTATATTGGGTGTCACACTAATCATTGCATACAATTAAGTTCCATCTTTCAATGATTATTGGTCACAAAATGATTCTTTAGGAAATTTAGCAATAAAAAAGGCGATTTCTCGAGACCTCTATAAACTGATCCTTGACACAATGTATTTCGCTGATATTGTAAAGCCTGACAACGCGAGAAAATTATATTACATCGAGAATGTCGCTAATTTTCGAAAACTAACATTTCTAAAATCTCGAACAGAGGCGGCTTTTCAGAGCATTGATAAGTCAATGGTGACATTTAAAAAAAGGTCTTCTCTAAAACAGTTCCTACCCATAAAACTCATCAAACAGAGAATAAAGATATGGGTACCAAGCTACTCTACAAAAGGATATGTATACGATTTTATTATTTACGACGGAAAGGAAAAAGGAAATGATACCAGTTTACTATTGGGAGAACGAGTAGTGACCAAATTAGTTAGTACTATAAGGGGAACTGATGTATTATTGTGTTTTGACAGATTTTTCTCATCAAATAGACTACTTGATATTCTATCTTACAGCGATTGGAACAATAATTGCAACAAGAGTAAATTTGTTGGGAAGTTGAATCGTGGTGACTCAGACTTCAGACTAAATAACCACGGCACTATAATTTGCTGATGGCAAGATACTAAAGAGTTGTTAGCAGTAAGCAATTGCTTTGGAGATAAGCAAGTAGAAGTGAAACGAAAAATGCAGAATGGCTCTAAAATGAATGTGCGATATTCTGAACTTTTCGACATGTACAATAAGAAAATGGGCGGCGTGGACCTAACAGATCATATTTTGGAATTGCATGACTTTGATTAGAAGTCTACCCAAATGGTGGAAGAAAGTGATTTTTCGCTTTTTGATGATGGCTGTTAGAAATTCTCATGTACTTCACAATGATCTAAAAAGGAAAGAAAAAACACCATTTTTGCCTTTTCTAATTAGTGTAGCTGAGGGACTTATTTCATTGGGAAAAAGCCATGTTGCTGTTAAAAGAAAACCTAGGAGGTCATTTATCTATCCAAGGTAAGATCCGTAGATGTCAACGATGTTCTTCCAGAAAAAAGAAAAGCGAACCACCACACTATGTCAGAGCTGCAATAAAGTAATCATTTGGTGTCTAATGGGTTATTATAGTCCCTCATAATATGTTTGAAAAAAATCTGACTGTGACATATATGTCCCGGACAAAATGGCAAACCTCAAGGATAAAATTAATCTCAATCACTTTAATGTTTGCATAATTATATGTTTTAAACAAAAAAGTTATTTTCTTACCGATGCTGAAAAAAAAATCCGACTGGAAAGGGATAAGTACATTCAGCTTTTTTCTCCTCAAGTTAATTCCTCATCAGCAATCTTGAGGGTTTTATTAAACATTATGTTTGCTACCAATTTTCGTCTAGGTCAAATACTAACTTTCTTACAAACACACGCAACTCAAAAAGTTTTAAATGTATAAAATATGTCTTTCCAATATTAATAGGATTGTCAGTGAAAAATATAAATTTGAAAGTTCACTTTCTTTATAGGTTACAAATCATTTTGGTGGTTTAATCCTACCTATAATACTAAATAAAAAGCAATACTAAAAATAAATATATATTTGGTAAAAACACAATACACATTATGACACGATGTTTGTAGCAAAATGACAGTGTTTGATTTTACATGACAAGTGTAATGTCGTTTTGATTGAATCTATATAAAACATGCACACTGTTTATTTTTGATTTCTAAAAATTTTTTATAATACAGATCTATCAACAAAAACGTTAACAAACATCACATATTATCAGTTGAAAACGCAACGTTTAAAATATAGCGACTAACCAGCCGGTTTTCGTTTAGTGTGTAATTTTAGGCACACTTCTCCTAGATGGCGTCCATATGATTTCGAAAGAACCAATCTTTGAACATTATAACTACAGAGAAACTACCCTATTTAGATGATTTGTGATCAAAATCTGTCAACATTTCAGCTTCATTGGGCCATTAGTTTAAAAGTTATAGTGGTTTAAGCGATGTTACTTTTGTAATTTCCAAACAATGCAAAAATTTCAATTTCGTCTGTTGTTCAAACAATTGTTCAAACTGTTCAAACAAATTGTTCAAACCAAGTAATGCTGAATGCTCTGGTCGTTGTAACAGAAAACATCAAAAAATCCATAAAATGTTTTAGCCCATCGTAAATTAAGTTGCGTGAGATAGCAGAATAGTTAAATATATCAGAAAATATACTGTCTATTATTTTGTATGGAAATTTGTTAATGAGAACGCATGTTTAATGTGAATGCTGCATTTAATAATAATCGATTCAAATCAATAACGCTTCGACGTTTAGAATGTTATGTGCAACTGATTATGTGCAATAAACAGGAGTAATGGATGAAATATAGATTCACTATCTAGCCAAAATCAAACGGCACTGGATGCGCTTTTTTTGTCCCGTTGGAACGAATAGAACACACATCTATCAATAGTTAGTATTAAAAAAATATTGAGACAATTAGGCGTTGCCAGACTTGTGTTTTATGTATTTAAGACCTTCCAGACTACATAAAGTCATAAGTGTTACATATGGTTGAACTCGTATTGAATAGGAGATTCCAGCAATGACTGAATATACAGGGTGATGAATTTAAAAAACCAAAGTTACTAATAATATAAAAGAAACGGCAAATCTGGCAACATTGCAAACATCAAATATGGAAGGTGTATCTCCAAAAAGATGTACCTCATAATTTATATATATATATATAATATATATATATATATATATATATAATGATTCTCAGAATTTTGTTCTACGTACGTGAACCTTCAAAATTAATGGTACAAACAATATTAATTGAAACCTCAAAATCCCAAATTATTCTAACTCTCCTAATCAAATATTTATATCCTTTCTAAATTAAGTGTAAAAATTGTGTTATCAATAAAAGAAAAAAAAACTGCAGAAAACAAAATATCTCTGTCTGATGATGAGTGGTCCAAATCCTTGTTATTTGTAGACTATACTATTTACTCGTGGCCGCTCCCTAGGTAATCAGCAATCTTACAACAAATTATTGCAAGTATATCGTCTTTAATGATCTCCTTCAAATGCACGAATCGTTCAAATTATGCTACCTTCTTCTTCTCTCAATAAACTGAATCTCTCGTTGGCCTGAGTGAAAAATGACTCTTGGAATATCTTTTCTTTACGATAAACTGAATCTCTCGTTGGCCTGAACAGTGACTCTTGGAATATAAGTAGAAAAATATGACTTACAATATTTTACTGGATCAGCTTCTGTCAGATACACTAACTACACGAAAACTCACAAACTTTCACTGCTACTGCTTCCTACCTCTGGGAAACTACCCGAGAACAACCGCCGTTCGCCTTGCACCCTTGGAAACCAACTGACTATCTTTTCTCACTCCAAAATCTAGCTAAACTTTCATTCCTACATACCTATCCCACCTTTTTCAATCTCCGCCAATCAAAGCTCGTCACAATTCCCCCATTTTTTCATTTCGATAACAAACAAATTTTTACCTATAATTATAAAAATTTCCTAAAACTTATTTACAAATAATATTTTTCTACAATTCTTAAAAACTAACAAAAACCTCTTTCTAAAATCTATTCTATTGTCCTTAATCGCTACATTAATGTATTTGGAAAATCCGGTTCAATTGTCTTTGGATTTCACTTAAAATTATGCGGGTCACTATATTATAACAACAAATATATTATAACAAAGAAAATAATTTATGCATTGCTTACATTTTGTTTAATACAGGTAATCCAAAAATTTAAAAAACTTTCCTTCTTCGAAATGTTTGTTGGTTATTATCCTACTTATCTGAATTATTTTAATGTTTTTGAACTTTGAAATATTTTAATCAAACCAATATTTTTCTCGATTTTACATATCATAACAAATCCCCGCTATTTGATCTGCTGAAAACTCTTTG